TAAGTGCCCTACAAGTCTTAAATTACTAAGCAAAGGATCTGGTCACGCTGTGACTACCACGTTCTTCCTCTCCTGACTTTCCTCAAGGACTCTGAACGGCTCTGCCAAGAACAAGTATGACAGAGTTCTGTCAATGCAAGTTAGCATTAGTTTAGATAATACAGCTTTTAAAACTACCTGTTAAATGACCAAAACTTTTAAAAAGATATATCAGTCACTAAAAACATTCCCTTATAATGTTGGGTGGAGTTCACTGTTGTACCCAAAGCTGTTCTCTTATCTTAAAAAGGGATGTTTGTATAAGATTTAAAAGAAAACCCACATAAACTTTGTCACATAAACCCCTGCAGTCGCTTCTGAGTGATGTTCACACTGCTTGCTCTGAATAATATATAGGTTATTCTGAAGGAAACAGCTGCTTTTGAATACAGAGAAGCTGGAAGCCACAGCGTGAGTGCAGTAGCTAACGTCCTCACAGTCCTGTGGGAACTCCTGGAGGGAGGCCCAGGGCGTGTTTAAGCCGTCACTGTTCCACACCCGGGGGATGGGGGCTAGTGGTGAGCTTCTGCTCCTGCTCTGCTGAGTCTTCTGCAGGAGGCTTCAGAGAAGGGACACCGTGTCCCTTTACAGAGAAACAAGGACACCAGACACTCACTGTTCTCAAAAGGGCAGGAGGAGGAGGCCGGGTCTTTCCAGCAGGCGGAACTTGAGAGAAATCGAGTGTTCACCTCCACGCTGGGTTTATGTCCTGTCCTGTCTGAGAGCCCAGAACCAGTGGTTTTACTAGCCCTCTCTCCAAGCTGATTCTGACCTGTGGAAAGTGTGACCTTGCCAGAAGTGTCTGTACGTGCGTACAAATACACAAGACTGTGTCAGTACACCAGACACTCATCTCCTGAGACTGGTCTGTGGGCCACCGGCCTTGGCCGGCCGTGGAAGGAGGGACGGTGTCCACAGTGCCCACTACTTGGTGTTGAGAGCAGTGAAGGACTTGACCTTCTGACCTGCTCTCAGGCGAGTAAAAAGACCCTCCCCGGACTAGCAGGCTGGTGTCTGAGCTCAGACCTTGTAGGGGTCTGGCGGCGTGGGAAGGCGAGGAGGAGTTTGTATCCTGGTCAGCTTCCAAGTGTGAGGCCTGCGGAAGCCCACTGGCAGTTTCTCAGTGTTCGCTGACTGAGAGAGCCACGCTCCAGCTGAGCAATCTAGCAACTCCTCTCTCAAGAGTGACAGAAAATAGAAGAGCCTATGATGAAAGACGAAAAAAACGGTGTGCACATGCCTTACTTTTAAGAGCCTTTACAATCAGTTAAGTGTTCAGCAGTTCTTCCCAAGTCCTTCCATACAGGCGGAGGCCCTGGGCCACGGCACTGGGACTGATCACTGATCTCAGCCGAGTGGAGGGAACACGAGGGCAGCGGTTGGTTAGAATGTGTCGATAAAGGACACTTCTACTGAACACAAAACATTGAAACAGCTCAGCCTTCCACGATTTCAGGGTCTGGGATATTCTGAATGACCCAAGTTTCCAGAGAAGTGAAGGTTCCAACTAATGGCCAATTTTGTTTTTAGTATTTAATTCCTTTAAGTATAATACTACACATTTTCCTGTGCTTTGTAAAACTCTGAAAATATTTAAATTCCCTCCGCTATCTTGGTGAAAAGGGGTCACTGAACTCTGTATTTAGTTTTTTGAAACTGTCTATAAAGGAAAGGGTTAAATTCCAAGCTTCTTTAGGACAATGATGAGCAAACTTTTATTTTCAGGGAAAATAAATGTTGATGGGTTTCATTTATTTCCCTCTAACTGAACACAGCCTTGAACCCCTTGGAGAAGAACCATCTTAGAACTTGACACATCAGTGAATGAGTGGCAGGAGGAAATGCGTGTGGTCAGCCGTGAAGAATTCACGTAGGCGTCCAGGAGCAGGGTAGCAAGCTCTCCCCACCCTGACGTGGCCACAGGCCTCCTATGAGCTGGGCGGGCTGCTCAGCCCAGCCCTGAGCCTTCAGGAGCTGGGGCTAGTTACCAGCAAGTGCGGGAGGGAAGAAACATTTCCTAGAATACACGGCCTGCCAGCTCGTCTGTGTAGGGCACCACCTGGGAGGGGCCCGCAGTATTTCACTGCTGGAGCCGGTGGGGACCCCGGCACACCCTCATCATTTTACAGCCCGAGAAAAGGGGTCACAGGGTTGGTGCTCAGCCTCCAGGCCTCACGGGGCGGGGGGGTAGCGGGGGGCAGGCACTGTGACGCCTGGAGCTGGAGGAGCTTACAAACAGACTTACTAAGTCTGTAAGGCAGCAGTGATAAAAAGGATCATGTTCAATTCTCAGGCCACAAGTTAGTGTTCCATCTACCTCTGTGGTGAAATAAATGGTATTAAATACATCTCCATAAAACATGTTTTTTAAGCCATCAGTTTTGTTTCCTGGCTTTATCTGTCTGAATGCCTTTCAAGCAGACTACAAGGGTCACAATTGTTTTTTTTAAAACTGCAATTCCCTCTTTCATAGTCTGGCCTGTGCGAGGCCCTCAGTGGCCAGCTGTTGGGTCAGTGAGCGAGTGAATGGACCCACATGCCACGGGATGACAGGCTCCATGCAGGCAGCCAGAGCCCGGGGCCTTCCCTCCTTCTCTGCCTCTCCACCTGCTGGACTTGTAGGGAGGGGCCTCTGATCTCAGCTCCTGACAGACCCACACATTCCCACCCCAGCCTCCACCAGTCACCCCACAATGCCATGGCTTCCTCCCACAAATTGAGACTCATTTTGACACTTACAGCACAAGCTTCAGTTTCTGATGGCAAAGTGCTCTGCCTGCCGCCCCACCCCGCACGCTGTCACACCTCTGCCAGGGAGGCTGCAGGCAGCCACGGTCATCAGGAACGCTAGCTCTCAAGCCCCTGAGGCACTGGTACCACACATGCTGATAAAGGAACTCGTGTGTGTGCTCAAAAACGAACCAGGTCCACCTGCCCTGTTGTCCCTGAAGTGTTCGCAGGGCTTTCTTGCAGGCGCTAGCAGATTACAAGTGAAGCAGTAAACATTTACAGGAAAATAACTACAGCGTGAAGTCAACCCGTTCACATTTTCCTCCCTGGGAAGTGGGGCGCTCTTGCCACTTGGTGGGCGCTGGCCCACACGACCCACCCACAGCCCCCGTGGGGCGGCCAAGCCCCCCGAAACCTTTCCCTGCCAGCGCAGAAACCCCCTCAACTTCCACATTGTTGTTATTCTCTCGAGTTTGGCGCTAACGTCCTCCCCGGGGGGTTTGGGTGCCTGCACGGTGCATATGGAGGACACTGCGCGTGGCAGGGACCATAGCGGGGCACAAGGCAGTAAGCGAAGACCCTCTTTATTCTGTCCTGCCTGCTCACTCCGCCAGAGACAGCGCCCGTCAGCAGGAAGCGCAGACCTCCTGGTTCCGAGCCAGGCGGTAGCTGTCACTGTGCATGACACTCAGCAATGCCAAGGAGGCCCCACAGAAGCAGCCTGCTGGGAGACGAGCCCGAGTGCTCTGTTGCTCGGTCGGCTCAGCATGTGCAGCCCATTTCCTGGTAACCCCCAGACCGAACCAGGCCTGTTGTCTCCAGGATGGGCAGGAGGGGCCTTGACAGAGGCCGCAGTGACAGGAGTCTTCCCCAGCCTCTGCCCCCCAAGTGCTGCACTCGACACGCTGGTTCCCCAGGATTCCTGAGGTCTGGCCTCCAGGGATGCGTGACGAAGACAAGTGAATAAAATGCTCTTTGACCTACCCAAAGCACTGCAGATTTCCAGCATGCACGGCATGGTCTGAAGGCAGATAGAGCCTGATGCCATGCACAGACCCTGCGTGGAAACCTCTGGGACGCCCAGGGGCAGTCACAAAGGAAACGAGCTGGATGGGGCAAGCTCTGAAGGAATGACAGGAAATCATGGTGCCCAGATGGCCTGTGCAGAGACCGGCAGCTCGGCCCGTCAGACCTGCTGAACGTCACATCCCTCTGCCCCAGAGGACACACGTGCTCAAACAGTGTTCTGGGCCCCAGGGTCCCGTACGGTCCGCTCCTGCTATGTACTCCCATTCTGAGCATGACAAAAATGTCATAGTCCTCGCTAAAAACACTGCCAGTGACATGGCAGGGGTGTCTGATAAATAGAATTTAAAAAAACAGAGCTAACATTCTCTTGCTTTTACAAACACGGAAGAATAGTAGCAAAGGAGCGATAGGTGTGGTTAAGACTCCCAGAAGCTCGTGAACAGGGAGGCTCGAGGCTGTGCAAGTTCTGCGTTTACTCCAGCGAGAAGACGGCACATGAGGCTGAGTTTCAAACACAACCCCAGAGCCTGCTGTCTTGTTCTTCCAGGACTCTCCCAGATGACCTTGTTCATTAACTTAAATCTAGAAACTGAGCAAGACGATTTCCATTTTTACCCCCAAAGTATCCATGTACCCAGAGACTATCAACCTAACTCAAGCACTAGGACAGAGGGAGAGTGTGGTCTCGCAGTAAAATCAGTGGACAACAGAGGGGCAGGGAGAGCACAACTTCCTCTCAAGTCTACCCGGGTCCCCGCCTCGCCCGAAGGAGCAGACCAGTTCCCGCTCGGCCCGGCCTGTCTACACTCCTCATCTCAACAGGATGAACAGTTTTCATGGGGCCACAATAGAAGCCCCAATTTAAGAGACTTTTAAGAAGTGCTGGAGAATGTTCTGTTGTAGTTAAAAAGGTCTTAAACTGTGAGAAAAAGCAAAATTGTTAGCATAGGTTTACTTTAGGCTCTCTGACTGCTGCAAGAGAACTTTTCAGAGCTCAGATTAATTTGAGTTAAGAACACAAAATAATGGGCAGTCTTTGTCTGATTCCAACATCCTCTGTCCTTTCTTCCTGACTTAACATAGAGATCTCCTCTCAACGTTTTCAAAAGCCACATGGAGGTTTCTTCTCAGAAAGCTTAAAGAGGTGAACACTCTCTCCCCATGAATGATTCCCAAGGGAATTCATCGTTACTTGCAATCAGTCTGAAACCCCAGGCCGTAGTAGTTATGAAAAGACCAGGGTTACTGGTGACAAAGGAGCGAGCGGAGGAAGGAATGAGAGGGGCCGGGGTTTTGTGCAAGATTTAATAAAAAACAAACAAAAATAGGAATGGCTGCTTTCAACATTTTCCAGGTTGTGAAAGGGTTACCGTGATTATCTGGGTGTGGTTCTGAGCTGTGTTAGTGGAACAATACAAAACGCTGTCCTTCTCCAGAGCCAAAAGGGGTCACTCAGGGTTATAAACCACGCTCCCCGACCTGCCCCCTCCTCCTCCCGCAGGCTAGCGAGTTGTCAGTGCTGTGGTGCAGGCAGAACCTCGTCCTGGTGGCTTGTTCTCTCCACGTGACCCGCCCGGCCCGACTCCAGTGCACTCTCGAGACAGAGCTAGCTTATCCACAGGCGGCTGGCCTTAATACTGACGGTGAGTGCGGTGGACTGCGGCGGGAAGGGATGCTAACGCACCCGACCGGCCGGCGCTGACGGCCCTCCCGGCCCCCACTGCTTGGCTGATTTTAGAATACCATGGAAAAAAAGCTTTGATAAACACAAGAGGAAGTCAGAATCAACACAGCAGGGAGTGGTGTGAACAACCCATCAACCAGTCTCTCATGCATCCATACCCACAGTTAACGCGGACAATGATAACAATAGCAATAATAATAAAGGTACAGACAAGGAGCAGCGCCTGGGTGTGCTGCTGCAAGCTGGGAAGGGTGGTTCAAGTTGGCGGGCACAGCTAGTCCTTCTTCAAGTCCCTGGGTTCAAAGAGCTTCAAGCGTTCTTGCACCGTCAGGCCTTCCTTCAGACTCTGGGTGGAGACGAGAGCAGGAGAAAAAAAACAAGCTGTTACCCACCAGGCCAACGCTGCGGGTGAGGCTGCAGTCAGAGCAGAGAGCTACGGGTGCCAGGGTGGAAGGCGGGGGTGGGAAGGGCTCCTTGAGAGATTAGTGGGACATGCTAAGGAGAGAGACGTCCCCTGTGAAATGGTGGTGTTATCTGGATGAAGAAGGAAAAAAATCAGAGAAACAAGACGTGTAAGAAGCTAAATTCTGAGTTTAGGGCTCTTTAGACAAGCAGCAATCAGACTGATTCAGCCAGGAAAAGATTGTGCCGAGAACTGGAAAACCGCCTAGCTACGTCCTCCTCCCGCCTGTGCACCTGTCCACGTCTGCTCCTCTGTGGCCGTTACCCGAGGCCTCGTGTGAGGAGCACCAGAGAGCCCGGGGCCTCGCTGGCAGAGTTTGGGCCCTGGCAGCACCTGCTTCCCTAAGACCTGCTCTTGGTACTACCGGATCAGAAACCCTATTGGATTTAGTGTTATGGGGTCTTGGGAACATGTCCACATATTTACTAAGATTTTCAGAATGTAAAACCAATACCCTGTTCACATGGGACCTTGGTAAAGCTCAAATCTGTGTGTCCCGAGATGAATGACACTTCACTAAGTGAGGGACAGAATATTTCCCATTTCACTCCTGCAGGCTTTTCCCCAAATTTAATTTCTGAGTGAGGGAAGGAACATCACTTCAGAGCATGACTGGGAGTGAAGGGGGTGGCAGCAGCGGCTGGGACGGGCCTGGTGCCTGAGTCACCATCTGATCTGGGTGGCAGGTCTCACCATCAGACCCAGACTTGCTAGTTGCCCCGGCTGGCACGTGCCAGAGCTGGCACAGGCATGGGCTTCACGGGGAAATACAAACAGAAGGGCCAGCACCCAGCACAGGATCTGGGGATGGCAGCAGTTTTAGCCCAAACTCAGAGCACTGTGAAACAGAGTCAGGTGCAGCAGCACGGGGTCGCGCGGCCCGGAGAGCCCAGCCTGGGGTCTGCAGCTTTGGCTCAGTCCCGGGAGCTCCTGACGCCGTGGAGGGGGCACCCAGAGCAGCTCAGCCTGATGCTTCAGAGTGGGCATTTGTGAGCGAGGTCTGAGGGAAGCAGGGTGGGCTCTGGTATCCCCCCCAGCTTCCCTCACGAGAGCTCTGCTTGTTTGTTTTTTATACTGTGCAGCTGTGTGTGTATAAATGAACAAATAAACTTTTTTTTTTAAAAAAAGCATTCTAATACTAAACTTATTGAAAGTCACTGGTCCAGATGGAGCTCCACGCAAGCAGTTGGTTAGGGTCACTTTTGAAGCTTGCCACTGAGTGGGTGGGAGGATGGGGCAAATCCATGCCCCATTCTGAACCTGAACTTCCCTTAATGCACACAGTTGCCTCAAATGCTCTTGAGTTGCTTCTGCCAGCGCACGTGCATCAGGTCAGGGGCTGCCATCTGCACGCAGTCAGTCTCGTAGAGGTGCCGGGCACACGTGTGGCCATGACGCAGGAGGGCCGGCTCACAGGCAGGCCCCGTCACGTGGCATACCGCTCTGCTCTAGCTGGGGACCTTCCCTCAGGATGGCAGTGAATTGACCTCCCTGAGACCTGAGGAACAGCGAGCGTCCTGCCTCTGGGTGTGCTTGCTCCGTGCACTGTCAGATACCCTCACGTGATAGTCCCTGCTGTGCTCAGGAAGGCGGCTGGGGTGCAGGGTGACAAGGGGCAGCCCAGGAGCCATGTACCGCTGCACACTACAGCTGTTAGGGTGGAAAGGAAGCAAACCACACACAGGGCCTGCACACCGGGAGAAGGGGTGCGGCTGGCTCCCTTGGGGCTCCTTCTTCCCACAGGGCCGGTCCCTCCACCAAGTGCCTCTGTGACCCCACACTCCGACCACCAGATGGGGGCCTGCATGAGGACCCCATGGGCAATATTCTCTCTGGTCTCAATCCCAGAAAAGCCGTGCTGCTCTGGGCAGCGAGCTTGCTCTGATTTTACAAAGGGTGTGGAGACTGTCTTCTTTTGAGGGAGGCAGGATACAGAAACAACAGACATGACAGACATACACCCATCCGGATCAGATCCCATGTCAGAAAGCACCAATGATGGGTTATTTCTGGGAACCTTTATCCCCACCGTCCCGTGGGGGCTCCTCACACAATCGGGGAGGACAGCACACAGCCTCGTGAGTGCCCCCCGACCCGCGCCACAGCCCGCTCCTCCCCGCGTCACAGCAGGGTCCCTGAGGATGGCTGTAAGGCCCCCCTCTTCCTCCTTGGGCCAGCAGGACTATCCCTGCACCTCAAGGGCTTTCTGCTTACACTGGAAACCTGGCCAAGCCAACGCAGACTCCAACACTACTGTGGGAAAACCCCATCCCTGGGCGGCTTTGCGCCCTTGTCTGGGTTCTGGCCTCTCTGAGAGCCTGAGGCCACCCTGGGGGCCCAGACAGACTTCTGTGGGTGTCCCGACAGTTTTCTCTCTCTCTGTCTCTGCTGTGCCATTTCCTGGCCAGGCAGAAAGGCTTCCCAGTGCATCTCACCACAGAGGCCCTGCTGATGAAGCTTTCCACTGGTGCTCTGCCTTCTGTCCAGAGCCCCCGTGTACTCTATTTTCCCGCAGGGACTCGCACACCCCAGACACACGCTCCATCCTGATGGGGTGGGCACACTGCAGCAAGGCTTCCCTGGAAGGGTCCCGGCAGAAGCTGTTCGTTGCCCATCATTTACAGGCATGGGGAGAAGGGCCCAGATGACTCACAGTGAATTTACAGCAGCTACAGTTCAGCCTCGAATGGAAAGTAGAATCTTCAATAAGAAAACCATAAACCAAAGAACAAATTTTCCTTTTGCAAAATAGAATGTCTTTCGTGTTTAAAGAAAAAAAGCCCAAACTAAGTTTTCAATCAAGCCTAAACCATATTTGGTTATAAGTGACATGGGACTGTAGAAAAATAAACAAACCCAAGCTGACCAGGTTTAAAATACTTGGATTTTCTTAAAGCTCTTCCCCAAGCAAATCCGTTTCACCCGAGCCTTGGGCTGAAGCCTCTCAGCGGGAGGCCAGAGGACACCGGGCTGTGGATCCTAGCCGAGGGCGAGCCAGGGCACCTGAGTACAGGGAGCCAGTGCCGTCTGGCCCTGAGGCCACGTCAGCGTGCCCTCTGCCGGGAGCCTGGCCCAGCCCCGCGTTCTTCCTGCTGTCCTTAACCTTCTTAGGGAAGAATGAGATCAGATCAGCTAAGCCATCGAGCGCACTCTGGCGTGAGCGACTGTGTGACCAGGACAAAGACGGGGAGCGTCCAGGCGTGGCGCCCGTCGTCCTTAATGGTCATTTTCAAGCAGGCTGATGTTTCCCAGCCAGCAGGTCAGTCCCCCCACTTCCTTTCCTTCTCAGACTGCCTTCAGTGGCACCCAATGAGAAGCTTTTGCTTTGTTTAAAAAAAAAGTGCTGGTGAATGCCCAGCCCAATCCCTTGCAGTCATCTTGCTCTACTGAGCCATCTTCCTGAGTTCTGCCCATGAGGGACCAGCTCCCTGAATGCCTGGGCTCGGGAAGGGGGTTCTTCAGCAATGGGAGACCCTGCTTATCAGTGGCCGCCAGGTGTCTGTCAAGTCCACCTCTTGACAGCGGGCAAGAGGGGTCTCCCTAGAGAACGTGGGGTGCACAGATCACTCGACATGCATGCTGACTGGTGCCAGGCGCCGCTCGCATGCCTGCGCCCACCTGAGACGGTGGCTGTGAGCCAGCCTCCCAAGCTGGGAGGGGAGCTCCTCTTTGCAAGGGGTCAACTCTGTTAGGAGGTTACAGTGCCAGTTAACTCCCCAGAACCGGTTACAGAAATCTCACTTGGATGTGTATGTGCTTGCTGGAGCAGATGAATTTCAATCAAGTAACAACAAGGAGCTTGCTGTGGAGGTGTGAGCAGTGCATGCAGGCAGCCTCCCCCTCGAGGGCGGCAGGTGGTGGGTGGTGAGAGGTGTTTACCTACATGACAGGGGACCTGGAAGCGGGCTCGTTTCAGTTATCCCATGAGACCTGCTCAATTACGGACTGTCAGAGGAAAGAGCAAAAAATAAGACACACACACAATAAATCTGATGTGCAACATGCTCGTCACTCCCCACCCTCCGCCCGTCCTTCCCGTGGAGGCGCGCAAGGGGCGGGGGACGCACGCCGGGGATTTGCTACTGCATGGTTGGGGGGAAGGGGCGCAGGCAGCTTCCCCTCTGGAAGGCAGACGGCGTCAGCAGTAAACTAGGGACGTGTGAGGAGCAGCACAGACAGAGCAGGACTGACACAGGAGGGGCTGGGGTGAAACCCAGCCTCAGGGGTCCCAGGTGGAACTCGCCCCAGCCCTGCTTCTTGTAGGCCTGGCCCCTCAACTGTCACTGTTAGGAGGTGGTTCCCTGCTGCACGAAGGACACACACAGCTCGAAGCCACCAGAACTAGCCCAGCAGGGTAAGCGTGTGGGGCCGGGTGAGTATGGGACCATGGGGACCCTCCGTGGAAGCCCGTGGTGGGCTCTGACCATGAGCCCCACACACCTGGGGGCTGGACCCCAGGCTCACCTTGGACCTGATGTTTCTGAGTTGCCGGCTGACACAGGATCTGTCTTTCTTCAAGAAGTCAGGGTTGCTTTTAGATTTCATTATATCTGAAGGAACACACAAATCAATTACTTTGTTTTCTAAAACCCACTGGAACCAGACTGATGTTTAAAAATTTCCCAAATTTTTATTGTTATCACCACACACTTATGACATTTCCCTTAACAACTTTAAGGGAATTCAAAACCAATAACCATAACACACTCTAGATCTTTTCCAGAACAACTCAAAGCACTGGAACAGCTGGAGGACATCTGGGGGGGCCTCTGACTGCTGGAGGGCGGCTCTCTGCAGGAAAGGCTGGGGACACCTCCCTCGGGGCTGCACCTGAACCGAGCACACCTCCTGACCCCATCATTCATCTCTCTCCGCCCTCCTCCTGGGAACCCAGGACTGCTATACACAAAAGAGTAAGACCAAGCCCTTCGAAACGTCCACCCTCACTGGACAACAACCCTTAATAGTTTGTTGTTCAGTCCTTTACGCTTCCTGAGAATGGCCACTTAAGACAGACAGACACTGGGTCACACCACACACACATCCTGTGTCTGTGGGGTTTTTTTAACTTAATATATTTAGGGATCTCTTTCCACGTCAAAGCAAAAACGTCTCCCCGATCTCTTTTAAGCACTGCACAGTACTGCACTGTGTAGCGATGCCATAGTTTAAACAATCCTCCATTTGATACAAACCGTTGATGCAAACAGAAGATTGTTCAGGTGGAATCCAGTTTTTGCTCCTGTATACAAGTGCTAAATATCCTTGTCTGCACATTTCTACTCACCTGTTTTTTTCAAAAGTTAAATTGGTAGTCACAGGCTGTATGCATTCTCCCCCTAATTCTACGTCTTCCTCTCTCGCTGTGCCCTGGCCATCCCGGCTCCTCCTCAGAAGCACCCACTGTTACCATTTCACTACCCTTCCAAAGTAAGTCTATAGTCAGATTTTAAGTTTTGCTACGTATTGCCTGGCTGCCTTCCAGAAAGCCCGCCAACTTCCCCTCCCTGCAGCAATGCAAATGCGTTTCCCCCAGCCACCCATCAGCACGGCCACGACCACTAGTCGACCACTAGTCCACGGCTAGCGGAGAGAGAACAGGTGAATGCTTGGATATTAGTGAGTTAGGACATCTTTGCAGAGGGAGTGTCCTCCCCTGCTCCCCCCGCCCCACATGGCCTTTTGCAGCTTTTACAGTAAAACCCCAGGATCAAGCAACTCGTGAGAGCTGCTTCCATCAAACTATTGAGTTCTTTAGGAAAATGGAAAAATGCAACTTGTTATTACTATGAAAATATGCGCTGGCGGTGTGATTTCCCCGCAAAGCAGTCAGTCCAATGTCAGCCGCCCGCCTGCCGAGAGGACAACGGTTTCCCAACCCAGGGAACCATGTGGAAGCCTGGGGCTGGTGCCCCTCAGCTGTTCTCTAGGAAGGAATGTGAGTCTCAAACAGACACAGGATTCCTCTGCTGTGAAACTCTACGACCAAATCCCCACGAGTTACTGAGGCGTCCCCCAGCGCCCAAGGAACTCACCATATCCTGACACAGGAGTGTTTTCGGGGGATTTTTCACCCAGGGCTTCTGTGGCTGCTTTCAGCTGCTCTTTCAGCCTGCTGATGTCACAGTCGGCCTTCGCCCTCACAATGCTGAGCTCCGTGTAGATGTCTTTGTACTTGTCACTAGCGTACTTCTTGTCCTGAGGGATAAGAGGACAGAGCAACTGGCAGTTACAGCCAGGTGAGGCAGTTATCTCCCCAGGCTGCAGCTTCTGGGGAATGACTGGGGAGTGCACTAGCAGCAGAGGAGGCCGGTCGACCCTGTTCTCCAGAGGCAGGAACTGGACACAGTAAGACAGGCACACCCTCGAGTCTCTGTCCGGACGCAGTACAGAACCCCCGGGCTGCCTGCCAGGCTGGTGCGGCCTGGACCCCGAGGGCCTCCCTGCGGCTTCAGCCTGAAAAGCCCTTACTCTTGGATGTCCTAAGTGCCTGAATGGCCACTAAGGATTCTGTCATCTCCTCTCTGGTTCTGAGAACGCCCTGGAGATTGGCAGGCCTGACCAAACTCCCACTTCCCAGGACCATGTTTCTCTTGAGTCTCACTGCCTCCCCCCACAAAGCACAGAGGAGGCATGGAGAACAAAGACGTGGTGAGACCAGCTGCGCTCCCCAATTTTACTATATCTGCTTGCAGGCTGGCGTTTTAAGAGAATTCAATTTTTTGTGTGTGTGAGGAAGACTAGCCTTGAGCTAACATCCATGCCCATCTTCCTCTACTTTACATGGGATGCTGCCACAGCATGGCTTGACAAGCGGTGCATAGGTCCGAACCTGGGATCCAAACCTGTGAACCCCAGGCCGCTGAAGTGGAGTGCGTACACTTAACCAGTGCGCCACCAGGCCGGCCCTGGGAACTCAATTTTGAAACCACAGTCCTCGTGAAAATGAAATCTACTCCGGAACAGTCTATGATAGGAGCTCACAGAACCTGTGAGTTCTGCAGCCTCTGTCCCTACCCCGCCCTGAGTCCATTCTCCAGGTCCCCACCCCGTGGTGATGTGCCATTACCCGCAATGCTGTCTGTAGCTCATCCTTGAGGGAGCTGATCTCCTGTTTTAGGTACTGTATTTCTGATTCCTTGACCCGCAATAAGACCTAGAAGGAGAGAGAAATCAGGGACTGACGTTCAGGAGCAAAGGGACTTCCAGAGTCTCAAGAGCACAGGCTGGGAGTCAGCAGAGAACTCCCTTCCACGCAGGGGCGTGCAGGCAACCTCCTTCTCACCCTCCACTGAAATGCAGCAAATATAATTTCAACACTGGTGACAGCTTAAACATTACACATAAAAAACAGAAACAAGAAGAAAGAAAGTGCTGACTCCTTCTGGACCTTAGAACCCTCTTTCTCACTCTGGGGTGAGCCTCCCAGGGCTGAGCCCACAAAGGCAGCCTATTGAAACTTTTGTTGAATTCACTCAGCCTCTCCCACATCATTTAGTGTGAGATATTTTCATGATGAGGTTTTAATTGAATGGGGAGAAATCTAAGTGCTTTCATAAGGACACCTTATACGTAAAAATCATTCTGACTTAAAATGAACCCCCTTGATCCTCAGTAATAGGGCGTCACAGAATCTCAAGCAGCCGCAGAGTTCAAGCGGTCAGCGTTTGTGGCAGAACCAGAGGGGAGCAGGGTAGGTGAGTGAGGATGGGGTTAAAGGTCCTCGCGGCTTCACGAGGGGTCCCCACTCCTGCCGTGGATCCCACATTGCTGGCAGCTAACTGTTCTCTTTTGCCATCCTGGGGTGACTGGAATCTTCCCATGTTCTTCTTCTCCTGCTCCTCCAAGTCTTAGCCCTGCAGTGATACTGTAAGCTGGGGGCCACCCCTCGGTCCCCACTTGGGGCTGGTGCAGTGCAGAGCTGGGTAAAGAGGGGACCTGGCTCTGAGCAGTACCTCTAGCTCATAGGCGTCCTTGCCCTGCGTGAGAGGTGAACCAATGGCCTCTCCGCCGGCGTCCCCGGTCAGCAGTGTCCGTAACCGTGCGATCTCCGCAGCCAGGCGGTTGTTCAGCTCCTGGGGGACAGCAACACAACCAAACAGGGACACTCAGCAGAGCTGCTTGGGGCCGCAGTCACACACTACCATTAGGACAGGCCGTTTTCTCCCCAACAACAGGCAGAGATGTGTGAGCGCAGGAGGCTGTGAGCAGTGCTGTGCACACTGTGGCATTTTAGAGTAACAGGCGAGGCTGTCCCTGCCTGCACTTTACGTCTCTGCAAAAGCCGTTTACGTGGGCTCTGTAAGTATCTGTAGAATTGTGTATGCAGGATTCCATAATCCTGAACACCTTTCTGTCCCCAGAACTGGTGTTAATTCATTTTCCAATTTGTCCCATTTGAGTTTCTGCAGGATTAGGCCTCCTGCCACCTACTCCACTCACTTTCTGTACCTTCTTTCCAACTGACAATGGTCGGTCACCTCAGGCACCCGCAGTGGCTAAGCAGAACCAGTCCTGCCGGAGTGCCCTCATACAGGGCGGCCCAGGGCCACAGAGGCCTCGAGCCTGGACCAGGCCAACAGGTCTGTCTGCTCAGTGCTGGGAAGGGTGAGCAGGTGGGTCACGCAGACGGGGGTCCAATTTGGTACCCACAGAAAAGCTTCTGTCAAACTAAACCTACCTTGAGCCTTTCCATTGGCCAAGATTTTAAATGCACCCCAACTTTCTGAGAAAGCAAAATTTTAAGAGAATAATCTGACAAAAATAAACACAAACAGTGTATGTGTTGACTGGGAGATGTTTAAACACGGTCCCAGCCTTTGGGACGGGAGACTGGGACCGAGCACAATGACCTTCCTAGGCCCGGCCCAGCAACGACAAGCAGAAATTCAGAGATGCTCAGGAGAAGAACCTGAGACATTTTAGAGTCTGCAACAGGGCTGGAGCCAAAGTCCAAAACGGCCCTGGCTCCACCACCTGTAGTGAGTTCCTGTCACGGCTCTGTGGCTCAGGGACCTGGGGCCACCTCGCGGTGAGGCCCGGCGCGCTCCAGCACAGGCTCACCTGATTGTGGGCGTTGAGCTCCTGGTTCTCGCGCTGGCACTGCCGCAGGGCCTGCCGCTCGGCCTCCAGCGCCTGGGCCAGGTGGGCGTTCTCCAGGCACTTCTGCGAGTACTGCTCCGAGAGCACCTCCAGCTCCCGCTGCACTGACTGCAGCTCCTCCCTGCGGAGAGCCCAGCACTCACGCCTCTGCCCTCCCCCGGGCCCAGGCCCTGAAAGGCTCTGCGCCCCTCGGCGAGACTCGAGGGCGACGAGCCACAAGAGGGCAGACCCTAGGCGTTTTGTTCTCAACAAGTTTGTATCCAGCTAAATAAGGGAACAACTTAGCAAGTACCTCAGGTTTACAGAAATCTGTTCTGAGGACCACTCCCCAGTCCTCCTTCAAGTAGCTTAATAGTCGCACACACTGCCTCTCGTGACGCCAGGGGAGAATGCACTCACTCCTGCCAGTGGTCATTTGTTGTCAGCACTAACTCTGGAGGCGACCTGTGTCTGATAACCCAGTACCAGGCTCTGTCCACGCTCAGAAAATTGAAGCCTCAGGACACTGTTCTTGGTCACCCTGAACTCCTTGAGAAGGGCTGTTTCTCTCACTGGTGGAACCAAGGACGAGGGGCCTCAGGGCGAGCTGTCTGGGCCCCATGTACCTGTCACCCCCTCTAGCCGAGGTGAGCATGACAGCACAGAATGGGCACCCCGGAGAGGCAGGGACCCTGATTCTATCATGTTGCAAAGACCCCCAGTAAAGGCTAGCTCTGCATGGCTCTCGCAGCGGCCAACTCAGCAGCTCCTGGTGGTGCTAGTCCCACTGAGGGAAATCCCGAGTGGCTGTGCTGGTGTGCTCTTCATTCTCTCGCCTACGGAAAGGGACTCAGCACACATGCTTTTCCATAAACGACAGATTGTGCCCTGCTTCTGCCACACAAGCCACAGAGCATCGGGCATCAGGCACCGGACCCTCTCTAGGAGGTCACCTCCTCGCGCAAGCTGCTAAGGCAGCAGCAGCTGACGGAGAGAACAGATTCCTGGGGATGGGCTCTGAAGTCAGTCTTGAAGAACAGCTAGTATCTGTAACACCTCCTTTGCCGCATCTTGGTCTTTAGATGTGAGTGATTAGTTTCTGTTTGCTTGCTTCAGTGACAGGAAGCACACCTGGGCCATGAGAGCCGGCGGCTCAGTGACCCTCGGATGGCGCTCGGCCCCTCGGGAAAGAAGGATCTGGGCTACCTCAGCGCCATGCGCCTCCACCAGCGCCACCTCAGGACCTGCAGCTTTGTGGCTCTTGCCAGGACACGGGGAAGGTGTTGCTCCCCTCCTGAAGGGGCTCCCTCCAGCCCCTCCCACCAGGGCTGCCTCCCTGGGCAGGAGGCTGACTCACAGGTACTGCCTCCGCAGGGCCTCAACATCTGAGTTGATGCTGCTGATCTGGGAGCGCTGGCTCTTCTCCAACTCACGCTCCATCTCCTCCCGGTGGGCGTTCTTCATGGCTTCAATGGCTGCAGGCAAGGACATGGCCGTCAGTGCCAAGAGGCTTGGGGGGTACAGTCGACAGCACGGTGATGTGTGCCCACTGCTAATACTGAACCCATCAGCAGGCAGGCCGGCCTCTCCCTAACCACTCCTCTGAGGGAGACACAGTGGGGCAGAATTCCCAGGGAACCACCCCCAACAAAAGGGATGCAGGTGCATTTTTTTGATGTTAGAAGAAAACCAAACTAATTAAATAAACATGAGTTTATACAATAAACAAGCTTTCAGGTTGGTATATTTTCTTCCTTGGTACTAATAAACCACTGTAAAGTATAATTATATAAAGGGAGGGTAACACAGAACTGATGGTGTTGTGCTTGCTCAGGGCAGAGCACGTTGGCTATGACAAAGCTTTTTTGTCAGGTAGAAGCTACAAAATCTCTGTGCTCTGCTGTTACGGGGCACTCCAGGCAGAGACGGTCTTATACTGACAGGTGTCTGTCAGGGAAATGCCACTGATCAGACTGCCAAGGCTGGGGCAGCCCCTCGTGTGTAGCCGGGTGTGCGGGCTCTAGGCTTGCAAGCTCTCAAAGGGCTCCTAAAACTGGCCTTTTCCTCGGGGAGAACTGTCGAAGAGGAATTCTCTTGGATAATGAAGCTTAAATTGCAGCCAAGAGGCAGTGTGAAGGCCGCTCATTGCTCTGAGCTGTACATTCAGCTTAGAAAAAGTCTGCCACCTGTCCTGCCTTAGGTTAAACTGGCCACTAGGCCCACCCCACCTGAGATGGTGGCCGCGGTCTCCTCGGCCAGGAGGCGGTCCTTCTCCTCCCGCAGTTTCTCCAGTTCCCGCTGGTGCTGCCTCTGCAGGTCTTCAATCTTCTTCTGGTGCGTTTCTTCCATCGCTGCAAACCCTCGCTCGCATGTGGCCTGCAAGGTGTAAGAGGGACTTGATTGACTTTTGTTTCTTTACCTCTGAGTTGGGTGTGTTGTTTAAGAAATAGACCAGCAGCCCTGCCCTTCCAGGCTCCCTGGTGTGGACAGCACGCTCTCCACAGCTGAGCACTGGGCCAGGGGGGCCACCTGAGGGCTGTCTGCAGACTCCCACTGGTGCTACTGGGCATATTTATGCCACCACAGCATTTAGAAATGGGTGTTTACACCTATAAATTCTGTCTTATTTCTGTGATTGTTCTGAATCTCATTTCTCCATGGAAAGAGTTGGTATTGTGGGTAGGAAGAGGTTGCCCTGGAATTTACATTAGGCAACCCTGGACCTTGATAGCATTCCTGCCAGGTGGGACTAACGAGAGGGAGGGAGAGGAGTGAGCTGCAGAGGCTGTCTCTGTATACCATACCCCCAGTGTGAGGTATATAGCGTGCAGCTCTCAGTGCCAGGCACAAACTGGGCATTTCATGAGCAGTCGTAAACAGTGGGGAGTCTTTGTCAGCTAGAGGGAGCCACGGCCATGCTGCAGATGAGGGTAACCCAGGAGGACGGGTGTGTGTGTGTGTGCGCATGTGTGTACACACACACGCAAGAGCCAGGGGCCCTGCACTAACCAGCTGGCCACCCTCGCCTGGTCATTTCACCTCTCAGGTGTCCACTGAGGGAACTGGATTAGGTTATACAATCTCTTCCCTTCCAGCCTGCGTCCTCCTTCCTTTTTCTTTTGAAGGAGTACAAAGAGGGGCATTAACTAGGGACTCCACTAACTGTCCTGAGACACAAAACAAAGGAACTGCTCTCCAAACTCGTCTGTGCCTCATTACAACCTGGGTTGGTTTATCACCTGGACATGAGTGGGGAGTAAGGACAAGGTAGGCCTTGAGAAGGGATCAGACCACCCTACACATGCACACTGGGAAGGCTATATTTGAGGCTTGGCTTCTCAGAGTCACTCTTATCAACAGGGCAGGTGAGCGTGTCACACAGCCGTGAGGGGTGCTATGTGCAGCTGTTCTGTGTATGGAAGCACACTTTCTGTCTAAATCCCTTGCAAGATCTGTTTCAGAGTAGGGATCAGGCCTTTCAGTGATTTTTAAAAACTAGAAGAATGTGGCCATGTTACATTCCAAATGCAAGCATGGGGGGGCTACCCCCTCACAACCCTATACTACTTGGTCAGTCTTCCTGCACATGGATTCAAGAAACCAAATCATCACACCTGGGTGTCTTTACTTGTGCCCCACAGTCACTAGAGGCCTTTCTGAGATCCTCCATTCAGTATTTTCAAACTCAGGGTCACAGTCTGGACTTCACTGCAACAGATCTGCTGTACGGGGCACACGGTCTTAACTGCCGTCCACTAGTCCCTGGGCATTCCTTCTCCCAGTGGCTCCCATCTGGGAGCCATCGGCCTCCCCTCCCCACCCTCCCACACAGGACAGCTGGAGGAAGCCTAGAGCTGTGGCCCCAGCCCCAGGCTGGCTCCAGCCCCTCGCCTTCCCGCCAGCAGGCTCTGCTTCACACATGGCTTCTCAGTGAACACACAGTTAGTAGGTCTTATAAGGGTTAGTTTGATTTGAGTGCTTCAGACTACAGATAAGGCTCAGAATTCTTCCTACAGAAACTCTGAGGTATCTTTAAAGATCAGCTGATTCCTTGAAGAGCACATGTGTTAAAAAATGATTAATCTGTAAACAAATTTAAATGTTTAAGCCAATAATCCCTGGGATCAATAAAAGTTCCTCAATGACTACTTTGCAGAATCGTGAGGGAAGGTGTCAGCCTGTGACTGTCAGAGGAGGACCCGGCAGGCCAAGACCCCAGTCTGCCTGACCCGGGTAAAAATCTGCACCAAGTCAGAGCTCTGACCCGGGCCCCTCAATAGTGCTGTTGGTTGTAATTTCTGCATGTCTCACGGGGTCAGTGAGAAACCTGCGGATGGGCTGGATGCCCACAGGCACAGGACAGAGGATGCATGGAACAGGCAGTGGCCAAGCCCCCAGAGAAATGCTACCAGAGGCCCCCAACCCAACCTGCATCACTGATGGGGCCACTGGGCCCCAGCACAACCCCTGGCCGGTTTGTCAACACAAAGTAGTTTTCTCCTTTCTGATTTCTTGCTCACTGGTGGTACGATGCCACGGTCTGGGCCTTATCTGTGCCCGGCCACCGGACGTGGGGCTGATAGTGCCTCACTGTGCAGCAGGCTCTGGGCAGCAGACAGCAGCAGCTCTCCATGCAGGGAGCAGCCCTCGGCTCCCTGTGCACCTGCCCACAGAGCCCTGTGGGATGTTGTGGGCAGCTGCTGGGCGCTCTGCGGGAAGGGCACTGGGAAACAGCGCTGGTGCAAATCCCTTTTAAAGGCGCACCTGGCCCGTCTGATGCTGCGTCACCTATACTGCATGCCACAGGGGCATCTTCTGTGCATTTTCGGAAAACAGCCCTTGAAGCTTTTTCACGATTCATAACGGTTCTCAAAAGGTTTTGACTGGCTTGGGTAAAGGACAGTGAAAATGGTCTCTGGGCCGCCCGAGCGACCACACGTGCTTGTCTCTGGTCAGTGGGCTGTGTCGTCAGGCCGAGGTGAAGCACACACTGCTGACCCACCGCACATCTCTTGTCCTCTCAGAGCTAGAGGAATGAGCTGCGGGGGAACAGAACCACGGGATCCTGCTGAATAGCAGCATCAGAAGTGTTTGGCAGGAGCAGCAGAGCAGCTGTCTGCAGCCCGGAGCCAGCTCTGCACGCAGGCTGAGGAGGCGCCATCTCACTGGAGGCCTGACTGGGGATGGAGCGCTCGTGAGGAGCCTGGGCATTTACTGGTGCAGCTCTGAGGGACAGAGAGAAGCCCAAGGCGATAATGCCGAGGAGCTCAGAGGCAATTCTGGGCAGCCACGTGCACGCACGCAGGCATCTCTGTTTACAAAGGCAGTGGGCGAGAACCTGGACGGCTCCATATGGCCCAACGCCCCAAGGGGCCTGGGAATGTCACCCTTGTGTGCCAGGGCCTAGGTATTTTGCCTAATGAGGCAGACTGTGAAATGGAGTGCGGGGGACAGTTACTGAGGAAAGGCCATTTCTCCAAGCTCCTGGGGAAGCAATACTAGCGGCGGAAAGCCATGCTGGGTAGAAAAACCCTTTTTACATTGAGGGCCCATTAAACGCCACTTCCCCACAGAGTTGGGGTGGGAGAGTGACTCTCGACACTGTCTTGTAAATATTCCTGTCTTCTGGGAACCCCAGCTCTGCTCTCTTAGGTATAGACAGAAGGAGACGACCCTCTAAGGGAGTCTCTGGCAGTCTCTCCTGGGCTCTTCCCCTCAGGTTTGGGTCTGCATGGGCCTGGAGGTGCAGGGTTCTGCAGGGGTGGGAGAGGGTGAGGCCAGGAGGGGGAGAGCGGAGACCTCCCCTGCTGGGGGACTCAGAGATGCTGCTTGCTTCTCTCCCTCTCTCCCAGCAACCGTGTTCTCCTCCTGCTAGTCCTCTTTCCTGGCAGGGGATGTTGACCAGGAGGCTAGACCCTTGCCCAGGCCCTGCTCTGAGACCGCACCAGAGCCAGCGAGGAGGCAAGGGAGGAGCAGGACGTCGACTCGACTCTGCTTGTGCAGTAACTTAGAGCCAAGAATCGTCTCCCAGCTCCACCCCGAGAGCCTGATGGCCAGACACTGGCCCCCCCCAAGTAGGAAAATGCCTGTCCCTCGACTGCTCTGCAAATGAACGATGCTTTGAAACCTTCAGGTTCTCAAAGTCTTTCTGGTACTTCTCCCGCAGCGTGGCCGCACTGCCCTCCAGGTCCTTGTGCTCCAGCTCCTCCCGCATGACATCCATCTGGGCCTCCAGCTCCTGGATGCGCTCTCTCAGCCCCGTCATGGCCTCGGCCTCCCCCGCAACCGCCTGCAGAGCACCTCTGGGCTGGTGAGGGCTGCTCGGAGGGCTAGGGGCCGGCAGGGCTTCCGGGTGCTGCGTCTGGCAGCGGCAGAGGGCCTCCTGTAGGCACTGCAGGCTCTGCGAGTAGTGCTCCTGCAAGGTCCTCAGCTCTTCCTCGTGGATTGTCTGCAGCTCTTTGATCTTGAGTTGGAACTTGTCCTCCAGGGTCTGCATCTGCTCCACGTGGTGCCTCTCCATGTCCTGCCTGTCTCTGACGGAGGCATCTAGCTGGCTCAGGACTCTGCTGTGCTCGGCCTGCAGCGTGTTCTCCGCTCTGTTCAACTGCTCCACCACACACCTGATCTCCTCCTCGTACCTCCCTTGCAGGGCAAATATGTTCTCGCTGTGTTTGCTTTCCACTTCTTCCAGGCACTTCTGCTGATGGTCCAGCTGCGTGACCTTGGCCTTGAGCTCTGCGTTTTGCCTTTCAACGATGGCAATCACTTCCAGGTACTCGCTCTTCTGCTTCCGCAGCAGTTCCTCGTACTGCTCCCTTAGGGCCCCAGCAGCTTGCTGGTGCTCCTGGCAGGAGGCAGCCCTGCTCTGCCGGGACTCCTGGTAGCACTGGCGCTCCTTTTCATACTCCAGCCGGATTTTGCAGGCTGCATAACACACCTGAGCCTGAATAATTGCATCTTGAACTAGTAACGAAGAATACTGACCGAGGCCTCCCAAACAAGTGTTATAGGAGAGATTCCGGGATGCCTGGAGAAGCTTCTGACAATCTCTTACTGACTCCACAGGGGGAAGTGAGGTTAAAGCCGCAGATATCTCCCCTAAGAGGCTGGCTTTATCTTTAAGCTGCAGGGCGAGTTCCTCCTGAATAGCAACAAGGGCCCCAGAGCTCTGGTCGGACAAGTGAAAGGGCTCCTGGGTGAGAGCTGCGTCCTGACGACTCAGCATTTCTCCTAACAGGCTCAAGTCCCAGGACGCCTGTGCACCATCTTCAACGCCCGCTGGGAACTCGAGGGCTTCTGAGACCTGCTGCATCACTCTCTCAAAGTCAGGGGTGCGGTAGGCCCCAAGGATTTCCCCCAGCATGCACTTGTGCTGCTGCAGGGCTGTCCGGGTCCCCCGGAGGGTCTCCTGGACGCTCTGCAACCTTCGCTGGAAGGACTCCCTCACCGACTGCACAGCGAAACTG